ATTTTGGTCTTTTGAGAATGGAACAATCATTCTCTGTAACCTGTTGACTGTTACAATTGCTGAAGAATGTTCACAGTTTGCACTTTTAACAGGCAGCAGATACTCCCAGTGAGAGGGGGGTTGTGGAAAATTGCGATGTGGTAAACTGAGTATTGACTGTGCCAAACAGGTGGGAAACACATGAAGGGGAGGGGGATGATTAAATCATTAAGGAAGTGTAATGTGTGTGGACTGCTAGCTGATCATTTGTTGGGGGCCAGTTATTGGGGACATTTACCTATAGAGGCCTTAAGGTGGTGTTAAAAACCTGGAGGCAGCTCTCTTCAGCTCGTGTTTGGTTTGACCTTTCATAATATTACATTACATTACATTTAGCTGACGCTTTTATACAAAGCGACTTACAAGAATAAGAATTCCTTCATTCGTCCAACAGAGAGGACATTTCCATTGTAACGGCAAAAGTAGAGATTGCGACAAAAAAGAAAACACTATTAGACCAACGGCATGCACATAATATTTTAAATAAGTTATTATTACAGCTTACAAAGTACACATTCGGGTAGAAAAGTAGCAGCAGCAGTATTTATACAGTAATGTTCTGGACTATACTGTTGAAACAAGGTGGTGCAACTTGTCGGACTCCTTGGCAGAGGAACCGCTCCCTATGTACCGCTCCATATATAGGCTATAGACAAAAGGCTAATTCTCTAAGCTTACGGAAAGTAAGCTAACCATACTTTCTTTCAGAGGATTATACACTAATGAACAAATAGTTAGGAATATTATTTTCCATTTCTGAATCCGACACACTGGTCCGTTTTAGTGGGCTTATACTGATTGCAATGTGCACTATAAACCACTGAGATCCTTTGGATTTCTATTGGGCTGCTAACTGGATCAAATGTGCCATGTTAAATATAGAGGGAAGGCCCAGTTGTCTCCCCAACAACAGCAGAGAGCCCAATCTAGTAGTGGATGGGGTTGGGGGGTTGGAAAACACCAACACGAAAGCATCATATCACCATCTGCCGTATCAAAGTCCAAATGTCCTCTTACTGTAGGTCCTGGGGTGGAAATCTAGAGTGTTGGATGTTTTTCTCTCAACTGTATCCAACCAATAATGAGTGAGTGTATCTTGGAAACAACTCACAAAATTCCGCATTTTGGCTGGAATATGGTCATTTACAAAGCTTATTTTGTTGATTGCACATAATAGACAGATTCTCTCATGCTTGGGCACACAATACTCTACCCTTTTTTCTGCACTCTGAGCTTGTTGTTGCTACTTGTGTCTTGGCTCAAAGCGGTAGTGTTTCTCTCTCCCTCCCTCTCCCTGTATGTGCCTGGGCCTGGCTTGTTGACTTTAGCCGGCCCATGTGTTGTGCCGCTGCCAGAGGGGCTGGTTCTTGGCTCAGCCGAAGCCAACAGAAGTTGAGGGAGGGAGGAAGGTAAGAGGGTGTGTGTGTGTGGGTGTGAGAGAGTGACTGTATGATTTTGTTTGTGTATGTACTACTTAAGTTGGCCAAATGCTTCAATCAGAGACAAACACAACATGCTCAACCTCACACACACACACACACACACACACACACACACACACACACACACACACACACACACACACACACACACACACACAGAGACACACACACAGTTAATGGGATCAAGACTTCCCTATTGAGGCATAGCACCTGTCTCATGAAACACATGTTTATCAGTGACAGGGCTCGTAATTTCACAGTTTAGAGCATGGAAGGTGTCACTACTAGTACACTAAATAACCTCAGTGCGTATGTGCCTACACATGTTCATCTGCATGTATGGAGGAGGAAATGTTTATGATGTCATCATTAAATTTACTGCACACTATAAACCGTGGTTGGACTAAAATACTTTAGTAAACATCCAGTTTTTAGCAGTCAAAACACAAAAACCCAAAGCACCCTTCCGCCCAAACATGCACATATAGCCCCACTTTGTTGACAGATATCTCTGCTCTACAATCACCTCTTTCTGGGTGCTAAATAGAGGTATCCCTAATTTAACTTGCTCTAAAATAAGAAGATCCAGACAAGATAACTCTTCCGTTTGTACAGTCGCTCTTAAGATATTTACTGCTGCCAAGTTTAATGGTTCCTAAATGATTTCGCAAACGGACGTGAATTTATAGAGAGAGCAGCGTGGCAATTTTTGTTTGATAAATCAACTTGATCTAAATCTTTAAAACCTTTTTAAAGTTGTAAATTCCAAAGAGTTGAATTCAGAGTTATTTTCTTTCCTTATTTCATGTAAATGATCCAAAGGCTGAGTGGCTAGAAGGCTGGGCTAATGGACTTCATATACTATGAAAGCAAGCTATTTTGGCTTCATGCGACACAGAGCACCTTTTCAAATGAATGAACTGTACCCTACACCTGACACTGTATCTGATTTCCTGTATACATCCCTTAAGTAAAGGATGACGCAGCTGGTTTTTCAGGTGGCAGAGCGTGGCAAGCATCTGTATCTAACTTGGTGTAACCATTATTATTAAAGTCAGCAACAGACGATTAGCTCCACAGCCGTCACCATGAGTCAGAGCCAATCATCAATGGTTTCTTTTCAGAATGGATGTCTAAAACAAGCCATTAGTTTTGTTTATCGCTTAACACATGCACACACTGAAACACAACAACTGTCTCCAGATGTAATAAAATTGTGGTGAGGACCGTGCCTCTGCCGGGAAGCAGAGGAAGGAAAAAGCTCTCTGTCAGGAAATCGGAGAAGGTTTGGGGGGGCTGCGGCATTAATGGGGTTTGGTGTGTGTGTTGGTAATCCTCTGTGTGAGTGTGTGAGTACGGGAAATGGATATTAAAGTTTGAATAATCTCCTGAATCAACTAATAGGCCAGGTGACCTTCTTAAATGTTAGTTTTTTTCGGTTTCACTGACACACACCAAAGACAGACAGTGATATGCTATCAGTGTACTTTTCACTACCATATAGTCAATTTATTCAACTCTAAAGTCAAGCTAACAACATGTGGTCCAGGTTTGCAACAAAATGATAAAAACAGCACAGAAATATTATTAAGAAAGAGTCGCAGGCCAACAAATAAGAAGCGTGTCCCTGGCCAGCCCCGTTTAGTGCTAAAAACAAGGCTAATGACTGAAACAGGACATGGCTAATCTACTTATCTCTTTATCTCTCATCAAGACTGTGTGTGTGTTTATGCATATGTATGTGTGTGTTGTGCATATGTGTGTTACCCGCCTATGTCTTCTGTCTAAGCTTTAGTGCAGATATTGTTCTTTGCATACTGTGATCCTCTCCTTGTTGGTATCTATATCGTTTCGCACACAAACTGTCACACACACAGATGCACAGTTAACCCTTTTGTTTTAAAGTGTTGAAAACCGGCCTCTTTTTGTGTGGACATGGCTGCGTAGCGTTCGGTAATTCCTTCATATCTAGAACATTCCTCTGTGATCTGTTTGCCTCCCATCCAAAGCATTCTCATCAGTGTGGGAGCTGAAACACTATCTAAACTTTTTCGATGTCCATAAAGTTTTAAAGTCTCTTCTATGAGTGGGTGTGTGAGCAGGTACACGCACGCTCGCTGATTTACGGCGTACTTTTGTTTGTGTTTTTGGACTCCAGTCTGAAGTTTTTGCTCCCAGTATGTGTGTGTGTGGGGGTGTGTGTGTGTGTGTGTGCACTGCGACTCCGAGTGGATCTCAGCCAGGGCTCAGGGCTTGGCTGAGAGAACGCCTCAAACCAGTTTACTCTGGTTGTGTAGTGGAGAAGTCTGGGGGCGGGATAGAGACCTCTTAAAGCTGCAGACCATGTGTGTCTCTGCCTCTGTCTCTCTTGTGTGTTTCCCTGCTTTGTGTTGCATCTGTGTTTAATCTGTTCATATGTTGTAACATTTGATAGGATTGGGATTTGCATATGACATAGCGGTACATGGTCAACACATATTCACTTTATTGTATTAGCTTTGACGGCTTGTTTTTTGGGGGGACTTTTTGACACAAGAATATCAATCAGTTTATGTGTGTGCACAAGTGTGTGGGTGAGTCCTTGGCCGCTCTGAATTAATTCCCCCTGTTTTGTTTCGAACATAACAGAGGTTAAAAGTGCAAAAAAGAAAAAAAGAATAGATGAAGAGAAAGGCTGCTTGAGGCTGAGAAACGTTGTGCTACTTTGCAGTATGACACAAATTACTGTGCTCAATAACATTTGTATTAGAATGCTAGATGGTGTAATGCCACTCTGAGCTTACTGTGAATTTGTATGTCTTAGCAAAAGAGTACTTTGTGTGTGTGTGTACGCTGCAAAAATCTACAGTATTTAGGTTTAAGCTGAGGGTTGACTGCTCAGCATGGGGTGTACTCTCAGTCTCTCTGAGGTTGCACAAGCTGTGCAGAAACACACCACAAAACCTGTTCACTCTCAGGGCTTTCCGTTATATCTTCATGTGCACCACACACACACACACACACACACACACACACACACACACACACACACACACACACACACACACACACACACACACATGCTCATACTCAAACGCACACACACACACACACACACACACATGCTCATACTCAAACGCACACACACACACACACACACACATGCTCATACTCAAACGCACACACACACACACACACACACACACACGCACATGCTTATACTCAAACGCACACACACACACACACACACACACACACACGCGCACACACGCACACACGCACACACACGCTCATAATCAAACACTTTATTCACTCAGACTGCTTTAAGAATTTCTTAAGTGGTGATATTTTGGGGGTCTACAGAGATTTATAGATTTCTCTGGGGACCAGTCCAGGCTTTTTCTTCTGAAATAACTTTCCATTACTCAGGCAAAACAACAAACTGTTTTAAAGTGTTTTGCTGAAATTGTGTTTGTTCAAACATATTAAGACAAGAGCAGTGGTGTTAACTTTCCTTTTCTACATGTGTGTGTTTTGCAGGAGGCCCTCAGGTCATGCTGATAAGGAAGTGATGGCTGCCACCGTCCTGACCTCACTGTCCACATCTCCGCTGGTGCTCAACCCTTCCTCTGCTCCACCAGGTAACATCACAGCCTCTGCTGCATTCTGCCCTTAAAACATACCTGCAATGGAAACTGCTCCATCAAACACTGACTCATCCACTGTATGAAACAAATGAATGTCACCTTTCATTATGCAGAGGAGTTACTATGTGAAGCGGAGGGACAGTGGGAACAAAATCTCATCATCAATCAGCTGATGTTTGTTATGCTAATGAGACTGATCAGCTGAGTCATTTATCATTTTTCATCTAATAAAAGGGACTCTTACAGTATCATGAGCTCGATTATCTTATCTTTGTATACATTCATGTTACCCAAGCCTAGCGCACTTGCTGCCAACTGTTCAGACGTGACCTTATCACCGCAGACGGTCAAAGTCCTATCTGCTTCTTTTTTTTTTGCCAGCATAAAACAAAGGCTACTGTTATTGAGTAAGGCAACATGTAGCGGTTCATATGCCATCATCCATCGGACACTTCTCGGGCGGGAGTGGTTCAGTCTGTAGAGGATTGGACTTTGGACCGAAGGGTTGCCGGTTCACGGAGTGTGGACTGGTACTGGAGAGGGGCCAGTTCACCTCCTGGGCCACTGCCGAAGTGCCCTTGAGCAAGGCACCTAACCCCCAACTGCTCACTGGTGCCGGCTAGACTGGCTGCCTCCGCTCTGACCTCTCAACTGCATGTGCATGTGTGCATATAACTGTGTGTATATGTATGTGCATGTTCTAAAAAGTGTGTACTGTATGACCTCTATAAAAACGCATGTGTGTGTGTACGGCAGAGTGGAAACTGAATGTCCCCCTCGGGGATTAATAAAGGTCCATCTTCTTCTTCTTCTGTATTAATTGTCAAAACAAATCAGTTGTCTATATCAATGAGAGTTTCATTGTAGGATTCAGCAGTCAGTGTGTTAAAAAAATATGCTGTGAGATGTTGTCAAACCTTGTGAGGATGTTGGTGCATGAATGCAAGTTATGTGTTTTGGTAAATGCCACATCAAAATGAGATTCTTTTTTCCTATTTTAGATTAAATGTCTTTTTTTTATGGGACACTGGTAGGAGGTAAAATGATATTATTTGTTTCTCTTAAAGCTTTACAGTAGTACATTCTGGGTACCGTAATCCTCATACACACATTGATCTATGCAACACATTAACAGGGATTCAGATCCTTATATTCCTATAGGAAAACATGATTGGTTCGTATATGTTAATCCCCTACATACAAGATGTTAGGTTTTTTTTCTATCTTGGGGTTTAGGTTTTGCCTTCCCCATGTTTTGGCCCATTAATGTCCAGTCAAGCCGGTGCGATTATCTAGTATTTTAGGTTGAAAGGCCAATGGGTATAGGAAGGGTTAGTGGGCCAAGACTTAGCGAGATAATATGCTACCTTGTCAAGGAAATGAAAGCTGTGTTGGGCTTAATGTGCAAAGATGAGAATAGATAAATGAAAAATGTCAACTTTATATAACATATTAGGATATATGCATCAAATAGGCTTTCATGGTTTATGGCTTTTGTGAGCTTTTACATTTTAATTTCCATTACGGTTAGGATCCAGGTCAAGATTGTGAGGCTGTCCAATCATTATGTTACTATACTTTTATTTCAGGTCTTTAAAAGTAGTGTGCACTTACCATAATGTTCACATATGATCTTCTTTGTATATATAATACATATGTTAACCGTTTGCATTCTTTGACCTGCAGTCCCAGAGCCAGGCAGCAGGGCTTGGAAAGACGTGCTGTCAAATAGCTACAGCAGTTCCACGAGTGGCAACTGGAGCTGGGACACCAGCGACCAATCAGTGCCCTCCACACCGTCACCGCCTCTTTCCAATGATGCCAACAAGAACTTCCCTCTCTTGACCCCGGGGGATGATGTTAATGAAGATGTCCCAGAGAGCACACACTTCATGTTTGAGGACCCAATACCTCGTAAGCGAAAGGTAAAAATGAATCTTCATGTAGCATTTATATATGACTCGATATATGTATGGCACTTAATTTATAAAGCACTGAGGCAAATTAACTTTGGCTAAATAATTACTATGGCTCCTGAACAGCTTGGGAAATCAAAGGGACATGTTTAGGATAGGGTTTGATGACTAAGCACAACAAAGATATTAGATTAGAAACACACCTGCTAATTTATCAGATATAATTTATCACACATCTAATCAAACTGACTGTATATTATGAAATAAGTAAGTTGAACTCAAGTAGAAATCCACAGTTAATACGGTTTGTCACATCTGTGGTTGTGTGGTTATGACAGCAGCCCCAGATGCTGTTTGTTCAACTTTAATCTTGTGCATCCAAAAAATGCACATGCTGAGTAATACTTCATGGCCACAGCTTTACAGACACAACTATGATGTGCTTTAATATTTCTTTAGTAATCCAGTAGAAAACCAAACCATGGTAGCACCATCAAGTTTAACAGCAGCAGTTCCTTTCTGCATGTCTGGATCAAAAGGTTAATTCTTAATTTTGTAACTTTAGAAATAGTCCTCTTTTCATTCTTCTCACAGAGCACAGGAAGAAAGGTTAGTAAGAGTTAAGGAGAGGGTTGGTTGCACAGCAGCAATTAGCAAAAGCTTGAAAGGGTGCTTACAAATTAGGTTTAATGCAATATTCATGGTAGCAGCAAGAGGGAAAAAAGGAATCCTCAAGATGAATTTCCTCTAGCCATACAGCCACGAGAAGAGCTCATATACTGTACAATATGCAGGAGTTTTCAATTCCCTCTCCCTGGAGTGGAGCAGTAAAGATTATTGAGCTGCTGAATATATCCAAACCATAAAGACTCCAAGGACGATGCTGCCAGTGACCCATGCCATACCATAGATAAGCTGACAGGAAATGAAGTGGGATGACCCGGGCCTGGAGGAATATAGACACACAAGTTGTTCGGAAGAGAGCTAAACTATGAGCTCACCGGCCGGCTAGCTTAGTGCCGCAATATAGCCGACGACAGCAACCCTAGAGGTCTAAGCCTTCTGTGAGCGGCGGCCCCTTCAGTTGGATGCTGTTTGATTTTGAGCAGGCACTGGGTTAAGAGGATTATTAAACATCACAGTCATCAGTCGTACTGTAACAGTGTTAAGATGCAAGGAAAATGCTCAGGGAATTAAGAGATTTGGGATTGTTTGTGGGATTAAAGGCTAGCTTTGCTGTGTCATTTGTATTAGTTGGGTTGTTTAAGACCTCATTTACACGCAAACGAACCGAATACGATATCAAAAAGTCTTCCGCTCACACGAGACTGCTCGAAAGCGCTGGAGACGCTGTAGTACATACGTTTGGCCCCCCAGAGCGTTCCGTTTGCAGATCTATCCACCTTGGGACCCGTTATCGTTTGCGGGGTCTGTTTCCGCATTTCCGTTACGGCCTCGTGTGAACGAACGGTCTATACGAAAGAGAAAAGTAGCGGATAGAACCGTTTGCGTTCTCATGTAAACAGCACCTAAAACACCATCAGGGGACGTGCATTTAGCCAAGCCCCACTTGAGAATTGTATTTGCATGTTGCTGTTAAATAAGAAAGGGAGTGGTAGGTGTTGAGGAACAGTTCAAAGACAGAGCAGTGTAGCAAAGATTACATAGCCATTGATAAAAAAAAACCTGTTCTACTCTTTCTTCACTGGCTCAGTTTTCCTCCCTCCCTTTTCTGCCCTCCTACTGCCAGAGGCTGCTGAAAGGGAATGACAGTACACACCCACTGTTTTTCATTAGAAGAGATGCAGGTCCCTGCCTGCTCATCGGACAGCTGCCAGCCCCTGATAGGCAAAAGGGAAAATGAATTGAAAACAAATCCATCTATATATCTCCTCATGGCTTGCTTACGAATAAAGGAGAGTTATCCTTTGTTTGTGTAAAAGCAGGATCAAATGTGATAAGCATTTACAAACGGTACATTTGACGAAGAAGTTATTGTGGTTGTCACAGGTGTCTATGTCTACAGGGAAATGGCGGTGTACTTGTGGTTATATTTAGTTGTACTTTTTTGAGAGGCCCTGAATGTTGTTTTAAACTTTAGGGGCACCCCCCAGGCTGCACCCTCACACCAAACTATTTATGTTATCATCTCCAACCGAGCTCACAACATGAACAGAGAGTAGGAGGAGTTAAAATCTAAAGAGTGCATTTAGTCCACTCATCGATCAGTCAGGGACATGCATGTATTGGCAGGTAGACAGAAAGTAGTTCAGTTTCATTGTCTGTCCTGTTTGCCTGTCCCTGTTTTCTCCGATATCTAAATCTTTCTCTTTTACTCTCTATGTGCCTGAACTTGTCACATATCGGATTTCTATTTTTATAGACTTGCTGCTCTAATAGCTCTCAAATGAGGTGTAGTGTTTGGCCCCTTGTAGCGTGGCATTCAATCTCCCACGAAGGCCTTTGTAGTGAGGCTGCTTATGAGATACACACACACACAGGAACGCGACATTACACGGCACACCGCATAAACCTCGATTTCCCATAATCAGTGTTCTGCTGAGAATATGTTCAATTTCAGCACCGTTTCTACCTTGTCTGACAGCGGATATTTCAAGCTTTTGGTTCAGAATCAGAATACCTTTACTCGTTCCACGGAGGGGACATTTGCATTTGTTACAGCAAGAAAAGAGACAGCTTAATATTACCTAAGAAGCATGCATTAAAAAAAAATAAAGATAACAAATTAAGAAGAAAGATTACATAATTTACAAAATGCACATCCTGTAACAGTTCTGAGGGACAGTGGTGAAAAAAAGTATTTAGTCAGCCACCAATTGTTCAAGTTCTCACACTTAAAAAGATGAGAGAGGCCTGTAATTTTCATCCTAGGTATACCTCAACTATGAGAGACAAAATGAGAAAATCACATTGTCTGATTTTTAAAGAATTTATTTGCCAATTATGGTGGAAAATAAGTATTTGGTCACCAACAAACAAACAAGATTTGTGGCTCTCACAGACCTGTAACCTCTTTAAGAGCCTCCTCTGTCCTCCACTTGTTAACTGTATTAATGGCACCTGTTTGAACTCGTTATCAGTATAAAAGACACCTGTCCACAACCTCAAACAGTCACACTCCAAACTCCACTATGGCCAANGTGTAAAGGAAAGAATGAATGGGGCCATGTATCGTGAGATTTTGAGTGACAACCTCCTTCCATCAGCAAGGTCATTGAAGATGAAACGTGGCTGGGTCTTTCAGCATGACAATGATCCCAAACACACCGCCCGGGCAACGAAGGAGTGGCTTCGTAAGAAGCATTTCAAGGTCCTGGAGTGGCCTAGCCAGTCACCAGATCTCAACCCCATAGAAAATCTTTGGAGGGAGTTGAAAGTCTGTGTTGCCCAGCGACAGCCCCAAAACATCACTGTTCTAGAGGAGATCTGCATGGAGGAATGGGCCAAAATACCAGCAACAGTGTGTGAAAACCTTGTGAAGACTTACAGAAAACGTTTGACCTCTGTCATTGCCAACAAAGGGTATATAACAAAGTATTGAGATGAACTTTTGTTATTGACCAAATTGTTATATTAAATTCTAATATTTTCCACCATAATTTGCAAATAAATTCTTTAAAAATCAGACAATGGGATTTTCTGGATTTTTTTTTCTCATTTTGTCTCTCATAGTTGAGGTA